CGCCCGCTCACCGGCTCCTGTCTCCCCCACTAGCAGCGCAGCTCCGCTCGCCCTCTCCGCCAGCCCGCAGCACTTCCGGCGCCTAGCGCCACATGACCGGAAGCACCCGCCTTCCTCCTTCCCCCGCCGCCCGCTATTGGTGGAAGCGGTCGGTCGTTCCTTGGACGTCAGCGGAGGCGCCTGTCGCGGGAGAAAGTGCCAGGAGGGGGCTCGGCTTCGGCGGGCGGGAGCCGTGACCCCGCGTCAGGTGGGTCCTGGAGGGAGAGCGGCGGAGGCGCCCCAGGCTCGCCCAGCCTCCAGTGTCCTCGGACGGGCCGGAGCGAAGGGCCCTGCAGCCAGCGCCTGCCCCCTGCCCGGAGCTGCCTCCGTGAGCCTCGGGGAGCGCGGAGATGCCCGCTGGGAATCCGCGGTGTCAACCCCCCACCCCCGCATTGGGTCTTTCCCAGCAGCAGAAGAATCGCCCGCGGACGCGAGTGAAAACCAAGACTTGCCTCGAGTGGGACGAGCCGAGACCCGCAGAGCGAGGTGGTGGCAGGAGGCAGCCCCGCGGGAAAGGCCCGGCGCCGAGGCGGAGGGGGTCTGCGAGGCCTGTAGCTGGTGACCCGCCACCAAGCAAGAAGCAGCGCGGTAAGCAGTCAGGTCGGTGCGGGGGAGCGGAAGCGGGTAAGCTGGCTGCGCGCACCAGATGCGGAGCGCTGTTCCGCACAGCGGTCGGGAGCAGGACGCAGGCGTTGGTTTGCAGCTCTTGCTTGGAGCTGTTCTCACTGGGAAGATCCCACAGGAAAATTCACTGAGATGAATCGGGTACTTTGCTCCTTGACTGGAGAGAGTTGCGTGTAGCCTTTCCCCCATGCACTCGCTCAGTATTTACGGTAGGGACCTTCACATTTCATTTTATTTCCCCTTTTCTTTTCCCTGCTCTTGTCCATTGTTTGTGGTCCCCACCACATTTTCTTTTTTTTTTTTTTTTTTTTTGTGGTCCATTGAAGCTTACCAAGGACAGGGAAGAGCATAGTGAAGGGAGAGGCAGTAACTATTAGTTACTTGTTGTAGTAACTTGTGGCAGAGGCCTGTGCCAGGGAATCCATTTTGTCGGGCTAGACCAGGAGATGGCAGTGTTTTTGGCTGGAGTGCCCCAACCTTCACCCATGCCTAGACTTGGTGCGTGAGAGGCAGGGGAGCCGCAAGGGGCCTGATCTTCATTGCTGGAAGCAGCTGCACACTGTGCCTCCAGGTGGATAGCGGGGGAGGGGCTGGGGTTGTGCTGACCCTGCCCCTTCCCTTCCATGCACCATGAAGTGCAGTGCAGCCACTGCTGCCACCATGGAGCCAATGATGGCACTGCGGAGCCCAGTGTGGCTGTTTGCAGCCTGCCTACTCCAACTGCCCAGAGCCCGGGCTATCCGTGGCAAGCATCCGGTCTGCAGCACCAGCTCCATGGCTGTGGCTGTTGTACGTGTACCTCTGGGTGCACGGCCAGGCCAGAGCCTGGAGCAATACAACCCTGACCCCTCCCCCGCTGTCTGCCTGGAGATGTGCAATGCAGCTGCTGCTGCCACAGAGCCAGCACTGGGGCTGCAGAGCCTCATGCAGCTGTTCGTAGCCTCCTGGCTGCAACCAGCCTGGTGTCTGAGCAGCTACTGCCTGCCACAGAGCCTGGGCTGCTTGCAGCCTCCCAGCTACCTGCTGCAAGCAGTCCAGGCTCCGTGGCTGGCGGCAGCTGCTTAAAGCCCAGGCCAACTGTGATGTGCCAAGCAAAATAGCTTCACATGCCATGTTCTGATATACATGCAAGGAGTTGCTAATCCCTAGCCTAGACCCTCAGGACCAGCGGCATGTGCTGCAAGTCCATGCTGTAAACCAGGTATGTATAGGACTGCAGCCTATACATACCTGGTTGTATTCTGTTTTATTTGTATTGTATTTCTGTTTTTTCTTCGTGGCATAAATCTTTGGTATTTTCAAATTTTGGTTATAGCAAAGGGACCATGAAGTCTTTGACATACACTGGGCAGCTTTTTAAGAAGAGAAAGGTGTGCTCCTAAGGCCATGTTTAAATATTTAAAGGAGGGATTTTCAGAGTTGTTGAAATGATTTCAGCATTTCTCATTGAATTTGTTCTGCAAAGTTTGATGTAAGAATGTAATCTAGTCAAAGTGAATATCAGAACATAAGTGCCATACTGAGTCCATCTAGCTCAGTACTGACTCTGACGTTGGAAGATATGGATGCAAGTAGGAGGAGCATTGAAATTAATAGCTTTAGAGCAGAGGTTCCCAACATCTGGGCCACGGCTGGCTGCCGGTTCACAGGAGAGTTGGCTGCCGGTCTGAAGTGACCACAGACTGGCAAACCATGGGTCAGCAAACTGCAGACTGGTGTCCCGGACGGCCACAGCCGACTCGAGTTACGTTAGAAATTGGTCGTATGTTAGGGCGGGCTAGTGAATGGAGAGGCAGACACAACTTATTGGTTGTAAAAAACTTTACTCACGACGCAGGTGGTCCGGTCGTCTGAACAACCACGCGAGTTGTTCCAGCTGGCGGGGCCCAAGCCAGTTAATCCATCTGCAATTTGAAGCTGGCGGGGAAAGGGGTACGTCTGGGGTTGCGCTCGGCAACGGGAAGAAAGATCGATAGGTGATCAGTCTATCGATCGGCAGCCACAAATCAGGTAAACTGTCTATCGATCGGCAGCCACAAGTCAGGTAACTTCAGAGGCACTCTGCAGCCTGCTCAAAGCTCTTCGACTTGGGCGGAAGTCGCGCGGAATTTTAAACGGCCAGCGAGCCAATTACTAGCCGCCACGTGTGAATAATTTAGCACTGGCCAATAGTGGGGCACAAATTTACATTCGAATGGTGGGAACTCTTTGCACCGTGCATTTCTGTGCTGCAAAGAAGAAATGCATCCTGCAAAGGAAACTGCAAATTGGCGGGAACTCTCTTCTGCACGCGGGTTCTCAATTGCAGCAGAACACTCTGCCGTGCAAAGGAGCTCTCATGTGGCCAGGAAATTCCATAGTGCTGAGGCACAAAAAATCACTGGGTTGTGACAACTGGAAACGACCAGCATGCTGCAGACCAGCAGCTAACCTTTTTTTTTTTTTTTTATATACTGAGTATGAAAAAGAGTCCACAGTATGCCAGTCACTTCTAGTCCGTGGTTTTCCAGTCCGCAATCTAAAAAAGTTGGGAACCACTGTTTTATAGCATAGGGAGACTACCTATGCCTGAAGAAGGGTGACTGCATCCAAAAGCTTGCTAAGAACTTTTTTCCAACTACTCAGTTGGTCTAATAAAAGATATCGCATCTACTCAAAGAACCTTGCCTGCCTACATTTAGAGTAGTGGTTTTCAACATTTTTTTCATTTATGGAACAATTTTGAATGGAGTTGTGGACCCCTTTGACTTGTGAATATGGGTATTCACATACTTGTGATTGACCGTAGTCATCTTTCGTGGATCCCTTAGACATAGCCTGTGGACCCCCAGGGGTCCATGGACCACAGGTTGAAAACCAGAGTGATCTATCATTCATTACTATTTATTACTCTCTGTAGCATCCAAGTGTTTTTGGTTTCTTGAAGTATACCAGTTTAAGCTATTGGAAAGTATTGCTGCTAGCAGATGTGAGGGGTTTTTTGGTCAGTTCTTTGATTTTTTTTTTGTTGCTTTCGCAGTAAGGTTATATATAATATTTAATATAGAGGAGTATTTAACTGTGGAACTTAAAAGGAAAAACTGTAAAATTTAAAGTTTTGCTAACAGGAAACAAAAATGTACAAAATTGTTCATTTTTATAATTATAGCTCTGTAATGGCAGCTTGTAACTAAAACTTTATATTTTTAAAGATTTTTTTTTTAATGTATATTTAAAAATTCAGTTATAATTTTGTTTTCCCACCCTCATGGTGCCTTGAGCTGTCTGATGCATGGAAAGAGACAACGTTTTTCTCAACTAAGCAATAATAGTCTGTGCAGTAGAGTCTATAGCCATGCAACTAGAGCTGCTGCAAGGCTGTCAGATTTAAAAGGTTGAAAAAGTCTTGCAAATTGCAGCCCGGGGTGACATAATGGACAGGCAGTCATGTTTTCCAGAAACATAACTAACAGACTGTTTTTCCAGGTAAAAAACTATTGAAAAATTGTTGCAACAGAATTGTTTTTCCATGGGTCTCACAGATGGAGAACCAGTGGCTCGCTGGAGGTTGCACAGAATGTCAGTGGCAGGGTGGGGAACTGAACAAGCATATTCCAGTCCCAGGCTAGCACTTCTATCACTGGGCAAGCCCTCCTTCCATGCACACTTAATAAAATTATTTAAATTGGATTGATTTTTAAAATACATTTTAAAAAATGGAAATGACAAATAAAACATGTTCAGTTTCTCAAACAAAGCTAAATCAGCAGAGGGTGGTAGGACAGGCTCCTGAACAATCCATATGCATCTGGCATTGAAGAGTATGCAAAAGGAACAGCTTGACAAAAGCACCTTTTTAGAATGTTTGGATACCTATCCATGGTTTTCATTTCAGAAAGCTGAATTGTTTCCTGTGACTTGAAGAAAGCATAAGACACTTTTTATGAAAAAAATGGTAATTCTTTTGGAATTGTGTGTGTGATGTTTAATTAAACTTGATTCCTTGCATGAATATGGCTGCTCTGGTTTTTGTGCCTAATGCACAGTAGCAAATGTGAACTGTCCACTTGAAATGCCTTCACATGTACTAACATACAGTTGTTTTAACTTTGCTAAAATTTTACAAAGGCTTAATTAAATGGGTTTAATTAGTTGAATTTACTATCACTCCTTGACATCTCAGTCTCAGTAATATGATGGAAAAAACTATAGATGCAGTTGCAAAGCTCCTTGGTCAGTTATCTCACAATTGCATGCAGAAGAGAGGTCTAATCCTATGTTTGCTAATGGATTTTCTGGCAAGTCTGGTGGAATGACAGTTTGTGTACATTAGTTTTATGCCAGATGGAGCAACTTTTCACTTTTCTTGTGACATCATAGATTTGGAGAACTTGGTTCTGTCTACCCCTGAGCATGTTATACCCACTTTGCACAGAGAGCATGGATGCTCCAGTAGTTGGACACTAGCCTTGGACTCTGAAGAATTTGGATTTGATTCCCTGCTTCATGTCATATTTCCTTTTATGACCTTAAATGTATAGGTGCCAACTCCATGAGTGCTCTGCAGCTCAAGTACTCACTGAAAAAAAATTAGCAGGTGCTCAGTACCCATGAGCCCCAGCCATTGTGGTTTTACATGTTAGATCTCTGTGGCTGCTTGCAGATCTTAAGAAAACAAATAAACAAAAAAGCACTTTACTGGAAGAATCAGCGCATTACTCTAACCTGGCTCTGCAGCATCTGTAAAGATCAGGCGCTTAAGTGGGGCTTTTTGGCACTTTTAGCTAATAGCTGATTCAATCAGCTATTAGATAGAAGGACCAAAAAAGCTCCAGTAAAGCAACTAATCTTTACAGACATTGGGCGAGCCAGGTTGGAGTAATGCGCTGCCTCTTCTAGGAATGCTTAGGGCTTGTGTACCCTTCCCCCCCCCAACCCCTGCAAGAAAAAGTCCCCACCTGCTACCCAAAGTCGGTACCTATGCTTAAACAAGTGACTTAAGGTAACATATGGCCAGGCATTCATTTGCAGTGCTATAAAGTATTTCAGTACTTTTTCACAGTACAAAAATGTAGCTCTATGAGGTCATACAGGCATTCAAGACCCCTGGTTAGAAAGCTACTAAGTTACCTCAAATGTGAGCTGTCTAGTCAGGAGGCAATAGGGGATTCCTCCTTTATTCCCCCACTCCCACAGAAGCCTGTCAGTCTCTTCCAGATGTTTTCATCTGGCATCATCAGTCCCTGTAGTGGCAAGTACTGATCAGGGGCCTATGCTTTGGCAGCCAGGATGGTATTGTGCCCACAGCCAGCACACTAGGCAGGGGATAGCTGCAGGTACCACAATGGAGCCACTTTGTGTGTGGTCACAGTAGTAAGACAGTTCTGTCTCTGATAGGCCTAAGGATAGACTAGGCAGAGTGGCCAGCCTTGTGGAGTTGGGCTTGACTTTATTAGTGACTGATCAGCTGCTTTCCAACTAAAGCTCTGAAGCCAGGGATCAAATGATAATTTAGAGGTGACCTAGTCCTCAGAACAGCCATCAAATAGTTCAGTTGATTTGGGGAACCATGTGGAATATTAGTCCACAACAGGAAACAGGTATATTGGACTCCAGCTAATGGCCTGCAGACAAGTTGCCTTCTTTCCTAAACACAGAGTCAACAAAATGTCATCCTGCTGAGAATAGGAAAGCCTTTGCAGAAGACTGTGGGCCAGGGAGAAAGGACATGATTAAAATGCAGAACGTGTGTTAAATAATACTGAAGAAACTGAATCCTTGAAGAAAAAGGGATTGAAATCCTATAGTAAGGGAGTGTTCTTTAGTAATGAATTGGAGAACTGCCCCACTGGTTTACACTTCATATTTTAATTTTTTTAGATGCAAAGCTACAAAAGTCAGGTATGTGTTTCAAATTGACCTTAAATATAGGGTGCCAAATGTACCAGGTGACAGCAGTCCCATGCAGGGGCATAGTAATGATCAAAAAAGTAAATAGGCCTAGGATTGGGTATTTTTTTGACCAGTCAAAAATACTTGGTCAGTTGCCTGGGTCAAATATTGTCAAATAAGGGTCAAATATTTTAAGCATTAATATATTAGATAAGCTTTAATTAAAAGAACTTTAATCTTCAGTATGTTAGATACTTATGCTAATTATACAAAACAAGTTATAAGTTAATTAATTGGTGTTTTGGAATAATGACATTAAATTAATTTTATAATTACCAGTGTTAAGTAAGTATAAACATGAAGGATCTTCAGGATTGAACAGTTTTTTTCCTTGGTTTTCATCCTGAAACCCCAGGATCAGCCTGAAAGTTTCAAAGTAAAATAAAACAGATTAAATTAAACAGAAATAAAAAACATAGAGCAACAAGAAAAGACAAAATCTGTTTTTAAACCACAGTTATGTTAAATAGCAGCAGGCCAACTCTTCAAGCATTTTCTGTTTGCATTTGGAGATGCCTGCAGTCACAAAAGATGGCCAGTAGGAGAAACTTTTCTATGCTCCTGGTTTTGGTTCTTCTCTCAGCATAGTATCTCCTGCAGCCCCACTTGGCTTAATAGGGGGAAGGGAAAAGAAGCTGGAAAAGCTTAGGAGAGAGGACCAGAGCAGGAAGTGCTTGCTCCTAAATTGAGGGGGCGGGGTGCAAGGAGGGATGGGGGTGGGAAGGGAGAGGGAGTGTCTTGACTCCTGAAGGACTAAGGGGCAAGGCAGGCAGTCCTCCTGTCATTGCTAACAGATGACACTGGCCCCTGGCAGATGTTACACCTAAGAAACAATTAAACAGCTAGTTGCATATAAATGTGTAACCCAGCCGTGCATTTAGGCAATTAATGTCACAACAAAAAGAGGAAACCAACTGCAAAACTATTACACAAAAAATGTGCAACTGAAACCAACCACAAAATTATAACACCTTAAAATGAATGTGTGACTGGGTAGACTGCACTGGGTCTCAAATAGACCTCAGTACAGTGCCTGCCAGCCACCAGTCAGGTGATCATCAGCCAGCTTTGGAGGGCTTCAGCAGCCCAGTGGGTCCCCAGGGCCGGTCAAGAATCAGCCTGAGATCATGATCCCAAAATTGTGCATACTGCCATATATGTGTTGCTAATATCTGTTTACCAACACTGGCCTTGGTGGTGAGAACTGCAAGTTGTAGTTGATGCTGTTTTCTGGTATCTTCTAGGTAAATTGCTATCTATAGCTATTGAAGATTCTGCATATTGCAGTAAATTAGCATGGCAGTGTGCCATAATGCAAGGACAGGATAGCTTTTAATAACTCCTTTGGAATACTGTTCTCTGCATCTGGATAACCAGACTTATAACTATCAATACATGAAATATGGTGCCAAGTCAGTTGGGTTAGGTCTTGTCACAGGACACAGGTGCCAAGCAGCCAGGAGTTTACGATTAAGCAGATTGCCTGCATAACATCACAAAGTAATATCTGTCCTTCACTCTGAACTACCTCTGTTTTTTTATTTGCTTAACTTCTTCATGCTATTTAAACTCATGCCAAAAGAAACACGGCCCCTAGACAGGGAAGGAAAGGAAAAATCAAAGCTCTGTGACTTAGCTACCACCCAAGCAGATCGCATTGGAGTAGGAAATAGAGGATAAAAATACTTTGGAAATCAGCATGCAACAAGAATGTACTCTGCGCACACAACCACTGAAGGCAGTGTTTAGATACTAACCAGGGTTTGATTATGGTTGTAGCACTGACATTGAGTAGTTTAAGGTAAGGCTGGCTTCCCTCCTGACTTCCTCACAGCTTCTCTTAAAAGAAAATAGTCTCCCTAAATTTCCCATCTTTACCAAAATAGATATTTGTGAAGTTGATGAAAAAAAAGGAGTTGTATTCTTTTCCACTCCATTGCAATTTCTTTGTCACTAACTTCTTATATGTTTTTCCTGATTCTTTCCTGATGACTTACTTCAAAGATATCTTGGTCAGCAAACTCAACATGGTTGGTCTTCCTTGAGCAGTATTTTATATTTAATAAAGGCCACAATAAGGTAACCAGGAAACAAATTCACTAGCAGTTTATTAGACCTGAATGATTGCCCCAAAAAGCTGAGTGGGGCTTGAAGGCAATGAGGAAACTGACATGCTATACTACTTAAAGATACTTTGTCAACAAAGGACAATGTCATTTTGATCCTTCATTTTTTATGTTATTCTGGCTTTTAGAACAAACCACAAATATCCGATGAGTCAAAAGGAAAGTGATGCTGTATGCAGGTTTGTGTATCCTTAAAGATGTAAGGATGCTGCAATTTGGTCTCTTCTCCTCACTATTACCCTTGGCTTTCCTTTGTTTTTTACCTATGGTTACAATCTAGTACACACTCAGAGGAGAACTGCTTCAATATACATACATATATGTAACTTTAAAAAGATTGGTTCTTTGCCTGCATACATGGATGGGAGAAGGGAGTTTTAGAAGTGGGGGAGACACTGAGAAGTAAGGAGTGAAGGTGATAGAACAGCAAGAAGTTGTGCTTTCAGCAGAGCATTTGGAAGAGGGGATGCATGTAGGGGAGATGTAGTCCATCGACAAGGTTAAAAGGAAACCTCAGAGTTCAGGGGAACATGGAAAGAAGTGCTGGGAGATAAGGCAGAAGTGGTTGCAGGGAACTATGGGAAGAAATTACCAAGAAATGAGAGGGTATCATAACTATTTAAAATGTTGAACAGTATGTTGTTCTATTTTAAGTTAACACATTGTGCTTTTCTACTCATTAGGGTCTTGCTTTGAAGAGGTTTAACTTATCAGTATGAGTTTTTAAGCTTGGACTTGCCTGATTATAGCCAGAGGGCCAAATCATTTAAAACAAGAGAAAAACACCCTTTTTACTTGTTTTTCAAATAAGTCTCATTAACTTCAGCAACTGGTTTAATGAGTGGTAAATTACTTGTTTTGTTTTATTCTGAAACCAGAATTGATTTCACATTGTTCAAGGATCATTTTAGTAACCACAATTGCTAACCTCATTGAGGTTGTCTCATAGTAGTCAATTTGTAATTTCAAAGCTGCATTGCTGTTCATGACTTTCCTTTACCCTGTGGAATATGAAAGTCAGCGTTGATTTCACGTGAAAGGGGTTTTGAAGCCACTTTATTTCTCACAATTTTCATGTGGCTATACAATCTATATTTTATTTTTATTAAGATTGAGTCATTGAATTCAATCAATTAATTTGTCTCTATCCCCAGGAAAATGAGTGGTGGATTGGCACCAAGTAAAAGCACAGTGTACGTGTCCAACTTGCCCTTTGCTCTGACCAACAATGACTTATACAGGGTAAGTAAGCCTCTCTTTAAAGAGTTGTATTATATAATGGTTGCATGCAAGTGTCATATGTAAACTTTAAATATCTGAACAGTGCCCATTTAGATTGTGTTGCTGTGCTTAATTTGACAGCAGTCTGGTAAACTTGTCTATTCTTCTCTTCGTTCCAGATTTTTTCCAAATATGGCAAAGTTGTCAAGTAAGTGATCTGATGTGTATTTTCAACTTGGCATTCAATGCATGTTCTTTATTTTGGGCAAGTTCTGCCCTTGTAATTTCTGTCTAGAGCAGGGGTAGGCAACATTTTTGGCTGGAGTGCCGAAAAAAACCACAATGTCTACCTTGTAAGGTGCCGGACATGCCAGAAAAACAAAACTGAGGCAGGGGGTACATGGCAGGACATGGTGCATATTAATATAGTTAATAACCATAAATGTTGCTTCTTTATTTTTTCAGTAAATACCAGGTTTTCTAAAAATTCTAAACCTGGTGACAATAAATAAAGCTTAGTATACTACCTTTGTTCTGTATTCTTTTTTTGTAAAGCTTGTTGTAATGAGAGAGAGAAAAAAGAAAGAAGAAAAAAAGAGGGAGACGGGGGGGGGGTGGAAAAGAGAGAGCAAAAACTGAGTATGAAACGATTTAACAGAGGAAAATAAACTGACTAATATGAACTGGCTTGAGGAAGCAGAACCTAAGCATGAAACTATTTAATAGAGTGAAAAAACTGAATAATGAACTGGTTTGAAAGAGAGTAAAAACTGAATATGAATCAGTTTAACAAAGCAAAAAAACCTTAATAATAGGCAGTGTTAAACTCTCAGTTTGCAAAGCACAGGAAATCGGCACCAGCACCAACAGACTAATTAGCTATCTGCTGTCCAGAGCTACATGCTTCCCTCGTATGCGGTGGGGAGCTGGTACCTGCAACCTCCTGGCACCACCCACTCCACACTGCCCTCCCCCCACACTGTGTCCTCCTGGAAGCATCTTCCTGCAAGCAGCATGACACCCTCCCCCCCCATGTTCTGCTGGCCCCTCCTGCATTCTCCTGACCCCCTGATTCTCTGCACCAGGGGCAGGGGCAGGAAAACACAAGCAGGGATGCAGCAATGCTGTCTGCATCCTGTCGACCCCACCCTCGGTGCCTATGGCTGAGTTTGTGAAACTCTCAGCACCACCACAGGCATGGGGCTGGGGTCAGCAGAACAAAGACAGCGTCCCTGCCTGTGTTCTCTTGACCTCACTCCCGGTGCCTGCTGTGGCACTGGCAGCTTTTCTGAAGCTTTGTGAAACATTCAGCATCACCCAAGACATTGGGGCAGGGTCAGCAGAACATGGGCAGCATCCCTGTGTCCCAGCCAGGGCTCTCCTCACCACACCCCCGGTGCCTGCCATGGCACTGAGAGCTGTGGCTGCTCCAAAGAGCCCGGAGCAGCAACTTACATTTTTTTTAACGCTTTCCTCGGTACACCTCCTGGCACACCAAGGAAAATGTCTCCATGTACCACTAATTGGCACATGTGCTGGGGGTTGCCTATCCCTGGTCTAGAGTATGGAATTGTATTGAAGTTTTGGCTCATCATAAAAGAAGGTAAGTTTCAGTTTACTGATAGCAATTGGGAGGTTTTTGCAGACACACACACACAGGAGCTTTCAGCCTGGAGGTGAAAAGGAGCAAGTAGAATATAGTTCCAGGATCCTCAACTGACTTCAACAAATTCTCATTTTTCTTTTGACAAGTGTGGGTGCAAGGCAGTTCAGTGTACCTGCATTCAAACTATAAGAGGCTGAAAGAATGGAGCAGTGACTTTTAAGTTATTGGACCTTCAATAGCTAATTATTTTGGTTATTCTAGTTTCTGTCATGTCTTTATTTTCCACCTTCAGCTTTCAAGTCTGTTTTGATTTTAGCAGATACTGCAGTATCTCAAGACTTATTAGAGCAAAAGACTATCTTAAAGACTTGAAGAGGGCTTTCAAATGTCCAAGTGACAACTTCAAAGAGAGAAACTGCGCATAGTATTAAACGGTTGAGTGGGGAGAGCAAGATAAGAGTACCGACTGCTAAACAGACATAAAAGAAAAAAAACAGTGCTTTACTTTAAACTGCGCACACCCCTGCGCCGAGCCTGATGCATACCCAAAAGAGGCATCATGTTAGTTTGACCCGGCTCACCCAATATCTGTATAGATTAGGTGCTTCAACAGGGCTTTTTTGGCGCTTTTATATAATAGGTGATTGAATCAACTTCAGATAAAGCATCCGAAAACCCTGCTGAAGCACACAACATTTGCAGACACTGCGGAGCCGGGTTGAACTAATGTACTGCTGCTCCTGGTAAAGCGCTGGGTTTTTTGTTGAGTTTTTTTTTTCATGTCTGTCAGCAGCCAACATGACTTCAAGCTTCAGTATGTCATCATCTGCCATGGCTAGAAATACTCTGGATGAGCTAAAACTCTTATGAGAATCAGTAAACACTTCTAAATATTAGCTCTGGTATACTGGGCAGAAATTTAAAAGTGCACCTGTTGGTTCTGTTGGGTTTAAAAACAAATAGTGTTAGACTTTAATTCAGAGGCATGCAAAATCCAGCCCATGAGCTGGATCAGGTCTGTGGCAGACTCCATTTCCCAGCAGGCCCTGCCTGCATTGCTGCAGCTGGTTTCCATGGAGACCTCAGTAGCAGTGGCTCTATGACAACACTGGGCCAGGGTTTCCGTGGAGATCAGCCCAAGCAGCACTGGCAGGGTTTGCGGCTGGGCGGGGAGCGGCTTCAGGACCAGGGATGGGATATTGCAGCAGTGACAGCGTGGTCCGGAGCTGCGACAGAGCTGTGATCCGCTGCCTGCACACCCCAAATCTGGGAGGGAGAAAAGGGGCACCCGGGGTATGCGGGCAGCAGATCACAACTCTCTCCCAGCTCTGGACCATGCTGTCACCGCTACAAGATCTCAGCCCTTGCCCCAGAGCAGCTACCCGCCCAGCTGCCAGCGCTGCTTGGGCCAGTCTCCATGGAAACCTTGTCCTGGCGCTGCTGCTACTGGGGTCTCCATAGAAACCAGCCACAGCAACTCAAGCAGGGGCTGCTGGGAAATGGAGTCTGACTGCCAGCTGGATCCACCATTTTACCCACCCCTGCCTTAACTCCTGAACAGAATGGGAGTTCCTGCTTCAAAGCCTTGATCACCATCAAAATAACATTACCATTATAAATAAATATTATATAAAATCAACTTACTAGAAACTTCTAGTACTTACAATAGTGAACTTTGAAGTTTTTAATTAGCTAAATTAACTAATTTACTACATTAATCAATTTTAATAAAATTACTACTTCAAAACTTAATGAATGTCTTACAGTGATACATTTACTTTATTAAAATGAAAGCCCTAATAGTCTATATTCAGTAGGAATTTAGTATAGTCAGTAGGAAATGCCAGTCAAACCACAGGCAGTAAAAAGAAAAACCCTTTTAAAGCTGATAGTAAAAGATATGTGTAAGAGCCAATTTCTTTTTTCATGCTCTGGCTGAGTGTATACACAGACACAAGCATCTCTGCCTTTGTCACTTGAAAGCTATAAACTCACAAACAATCTTTTTTTTTTCCCCTTAGGTAAGATGATAAAAATGAAAGGGACAAAAACATTAAAGACTGAACCAGGAACAACTTAAGTTGGAAGCTTAGAGCATGTGCTGGACTCTTCTAATTGGATTTTTGCTCTGCTGCTAAATAATGCTACGTAAAGAAAAAAAAAAAAAAGTGTTAGCAAGAAAAGTAAGGGCAATTTTTTAAAAATCCTGGGGTAGTAAGCTAGCTCCAGGCAGACCCATTATCATAGGAGTGAAGGCTCATCCAGCAGATAAGTGCCTTTTTTACACAAAAAAATTCAATTGTGACTTACTTGCTTCTGCCCACATCCCAATTCTGCGGCTACGTGTTGCATTGCTTTGATACTGTTTGACCTTAACCAGGCCCCCTGACATTCAGAAGTATGAACTGCTCCATCTAAACAAGGATGTCCTGGACTAATATAACATATGGCCGTCTTAAGCTGAAAACTCCCCCATTCCACAAATTACTTGGGTCATGTAAGAGCTATAGCATTCAAGCCATTTGTATTGGATATTTTTACCAACATAAGGAACATTGTTTTTTGTCCAGGTCTAGTCAAAATTTCACAGATGCTAATAAAAGCATATCAGCCTTTTATCTGGACTTTGCTTTCCTTGAAAGGTGTTTGCATAAAGTATTTTGCCTATCACTGTTTAATTAACATATACTGAACAAAGCTCTCAGAACTCCTAGGTAGGATTTTTTCATATCAAGCCACATTTTTTCCCCTTAAATGAGTGTCTTGGTTATTTGTTTTCAGAGTTACTATTATGAAGGACAAAGACACCAGGAAGAGTAAAGGAGTTGCCTTCATTTTGTTTTTGGATAAAGAGTCTGCCCAAAACTGTTCTCGGGCACTTAATAACAAACAAGTAAGCATCTGAAAAAGATTGTAGCAAAAAGGGAGCTATTCAGATTCCTCAAAAGTATTGACTTGGTGTTATTGATTTTTCCTCCTTGCCCTCCCCCTCCCCTTTTGGTTTAGTTATTTGGAAGAGTGATAAAAGCAAGTATTGCCATCGACAATGGAAGAGCAGCAGAATTCATCCGCAGGCGAAACTACTTTGATAAATCTAAATGTTATGAATGTGGAGTAAGTAATCTATAATAGATCTAAAATGTTTCAACTACGTTTTTTATTTGTTTCTCTAATTCTGCTATTACTATTTTTTTTCCCCATAAAAGTGGTAGTATTCTTTGGGCTAACATCCATCCATACTTATTCCATTTCAGCAGTGGTTCTAGCCTTATCTCTTCTGGGAATTTGGGATTTTTCAGAAAAAAATACTATCTGGTAATTATAAGTATATAGTCTGATATGCAGTCAGCAGCAGACTATATTTAGAACTGAAAATGCTGCATTATCTTATTTTTTTTATTAGAGCAGGTGTCAGCAATGTTTTTGGGCAGAGTGCTAAAAACACTTGCAACCTCAACTTGTAAGATATTGGCATGCCAGGGGCAGATGTGGCTTGTGGGGGAGTCACCAGGGGCCCGATCCTTGTTGTGACAGGGCAGCCCTGGCCCCTTCCTTGCCATCTGCTGTGTGCCAAGAAAAATGTCTTCAAGTGCCACACTCTGGCACCTGTGCCAGGGGTTGGCTATCCCTGGATTAGAGTAACTGTTTTCTGCTTCACTTCTGAAAGGTTTTAAATTTGGAAAGGGAATTGCATATTCTACAACAGATCAGTAGGGGGGGAAAGAAACTTTAAAAAAACAAACCAAAAAAAGTCAAAACTGTCCTCCTCCGACTCACATACATCTTGAGAAATTTTTATTTTCTAATTTTAAGTCAGTTCCACACTTTTGTTTAAGCTAACAATTTTAAAGGTTGAGAATTGTTTAATGCTAAAATACACTCTAGTAATTTAAATATCTCCTTTCCTACCATACTGAAATAAAGAAGTTGATTCCATTGTATTTTTCAGTCAGATTGCTGATATATTCAAGGCCAGAAGTAAATCACTTGTACATTTAGAGTTCATTCCAAACTTGAAGCTAATATACAGTATCATTGTTAACTTTCCACATTTCCAAGGTGAATTTTAAGGGAGGAATTCTTTTGTTTGTATTCCATATATTAATACAGCATTCCTTTCTTAATGTTAATTTTCTTCAGGATAATTTTTTTCATGTTTGGTACCTGCTTTTAATGGCATCTATTAACTAACATTTTTTTTTTCTCTAAGGAGGCAGGACACTTAAGTTATGCTTGTCCAAAAAATATGCTAGGAGAGCGTGAACCGCCAAAAAAGAAAGAAAAGAAGAAAAGAAAGAAAGTTGTTGAACCAGAAGAAATGTATGTGTATTTCTACATAACTGTCAAATCGTTACATTTTTTTGTAAGGGAATCTGAAATAAAACTTCATGCATCTTTTTTTCCATCTTTTCTTTTTACATTACCTAGTGAAGAAGAGGAGGAAAGTGAAGATGAAGGAGAAGACCCTTCTCTTGATAGCCTTAGCCAGGCCATCGCTTTCCAGGTACTAAACTTAAGAATAGTGTATTTTGTCTCTAAATACTGTTTTGCATTATTTACTTATGTGGGGGGTGGAGAGGGTGGCAAGCAACAACTACAAGAGTCCAGGCTACAAAACATACAGCAATCTTCCTTTCTGTCATCTTCAGCACACTGTTTGGCTCTCTTGTTTTATTTAATCTGTCGATAATGTGATTATTTTCTGCTTCTGAATGGTGCTGCTGCATTGAGTCCATTCTAAAAATCATTCTACTGGTTTGCTGGTTGTCTGTGATTTATTCTTATGTTGGAAATTTTCTATTCTTGCAATTATCAGCATTCATTTCCCCTAACCCTCCTCTATTCCTGATCCCCTTTTGCTTAGTACATCTTGTCAGATAAACATATGGATGCTTTATGCCTTCTTTCCATACCTGTGTCAAGACATTATTTTAAGTAGCCCCTCCCCTCTGCCATCCAACCTACCACTGTCTCCTGAAGGACATTATCTTCTAAACCCACACGTGAGTGTTAACCATACAACACTTGTCAAGTGGCACGTGCAATGGGGCTTGGTTCTCAGCAGAGGATTTCTGCAGAGATGGTATAGACATACCCAGAAAATAATTTGTGCACCTCAGTAAACCTGAATATTCCCATGTGGGTAACTTGAAGAATGATTAGGGTTAAATGCATCCTTCCTTGAAAAAAAACAGGTTCTCCTTGAGATAATGACCTGTTTCCCCTTCTCCTCTCCATAACAAAATATCAGTCTCTCCCTGCTTCCAAGACATCTCCAGTGTATCCACAATACAAAGCACTTGATTTCAAATCTTGTTTTCTGTGTGTGCTACACTTCCAGGACTGCAAACAAATTGGTTTCTTACACTTGAGGTTGGCAATAGAACCTTCTGGCTAGCGCTAAAGATTGGTTTCCCAATAGCATAAAAGGACAACATTTGTTTTCGGAATCATTTTTAGAAATTGTTCTACAGGCAGCTGGTCCATTTAAGAGTGCATTCAATATAAATTGTTTTAAGGGTTTGAATTATAGCCTCAGAACTAATATACTAAATACTATATAAAGTAGTATTTGAATGATCTGTTTAATATCATGTATTTTGCCACAGAGAATTAAAAAAAAAAAAAATCTTCCCTCCCCTTTCCATTCTTTCAATTGCTTTACAGCAAGCCAAAATTGAAGAAGAACAGCAGAGATGGAAACAGCCTACAGGGGAACCTTCAACATCGGATGATTCAAAACGTCCACGGATAAAAAAGAGTGCATATTTCAGTGATGAGGAGGAACTTAGTGATTGATATATGGATCTATTAATTGGTGTGTGTATATATATCTATATAGTGTACATTTGTAAAGCTGTCTGTAGTACAGATTTCTTTTGGAACTAGAGAGAGCTGTTGTTTGAACTTCCTCTTACAGATTTTTCTATAAAAATCACTGCATTTCAGGATTCTGGTTGTTTCTAATACAATTTATGACCTCGCTTTTTAAAAGAAAACTGTTATTATATCTGAATTTTTAATCAAGAGAAATATGTACCCAAGGTGAAGTCTAGCTCATTCTACTCAGTGTTTATCGCGACCATGAAATTCACCCACCTAGAGGCACCATATATACGTTTTATAATACCATTGCTTGTTCCGAAATGAATGTAAGTGAACTGTAGGCCTTGTTCTAGTCCAGGGGTCAGCAACCCCCGGCACATGTGCCAAGCATGACACGTGAGGCCATTTTGCTCAGCACGCCACCACCAGCCTGGGTTCTAGGCAGCTGCTGCCAGCTGCGAAGCCCAAGCTGCTCCCAGCAGGCAGCTGGGCACCTGCGAGCCCTGCTGCAAGCAGACTGTGGTTGCCAGCAACTATCCAAAGCCTGGGCTGGTTGCAGCCAGGAGGCTGCAAGTATCTGCTCCGGGCTCTGGCATTAGCTCCACACCGGTGGATGCACACGTGCCTCGGAGTGGACGGTGGGGGAGCAGCCTGAGGCAGTGCAACCCTGGCCTCTTCCCTGCTGCTGGCACAGAGCTGATGAGTGGGCTCTGGAGCCCGGCACAGCTGTTTGTAGCCAGACTGGGCTCTGGGCAGCCGCAGGCGGA